CCATTCATGATATCAATTCAAACTCACAACTTTATAATGATATATTACTGTGTTTATCTCAAAATACCAAAGAAAGGCGATCTTAGCAAATGTGATAACTACAAGGGGAATCGCTCTTCTTTAAATACCAGGAAAAGTCTTCGACATGGAATTGTTAAACAAAATGGGGGACTCCGTAGACGCCCGACTTCGAGATCAAAAGTCTGGATTTTGTGAGGATCGATCGTGTACAAACCAAATAACAACTCTACGGATCATTGTGGAACAATTAATTGAATGGAATTCATCACTCTACATCAACTTCATCGACTACGAGAAAGCATTTGATAGCGTGGACAGGACAACACTATGAAGGCTTCTTCGACACTACGGCGTCCCTGAAATAATTATCAACATCATACGGATTTCCTATAATGGATTAAACTGCTAAATCGTTCATGGAGGACAACTCACCGACTCGTTTGAAGTAAAGATCGGTGTTAGGCAAGGCTGCTAAATATCACCCTTTCTCTTTCTCCTGGTCATCGACTGGATTATGAAGACGTCAACATCTGGAGGAAAGCACGGGATACACAGGACAGCTAGGATGCGGTTGGACGATTTAGACTTCGCAGATTATCTGGCTCTTCTATCACAAACGCAACAACAAATGTAGGAGAAGACGACGGATTTAGCAACAGCTTCAGCATCAGTAGGTCACAATATAAACAAAGAGAAAAGCAAGACTCTCCGATACAATACAACATGCACCAGTCAAATAACACTTGACAGAGAAGCTTTGGAGGATGTGGAAATCTTTACATATCTGTGCAGCATCATTGATGAACACGGTGGATCTGATGCATATGTGAGGGTGAAGATCGGCAAAGCAAGAACAGCATATTCACTACAACTGAAGAACATCTGCAACTCAGAACAGTTGTCAACCAACAACAAGATCAGAAATTTCAATACAAATATCAAGACAGTTCTACTGTATGGGGCGGGAACCTGGAGAACTACGAAAGCCATCATCCAGAAGAAACAAGTGTTTATTAACAGTTGTCTATACAAGATACTTCGGATCCGTTGATCAGACACAGTCAGCAATAAGTTACTGTGGGAGACAACAAACAAGACTCCATGCAGTTAGTTCACTTTATGAATTTAAATAAAGACAGAACAAATATTGATGCAGAATAATATGAATTCAATATATTTCGTGGTTTCTCATCAGCTGCATACAACCAAATATGCATTAGTTTTAGCATTGGGGTAATAAATAGGATGGAACGACTGACATAAGTGAATGTAAAGGATTGGAATAACAAAAGTCATCGATGATAACTATATATATATATATATTGGCAAGGAAGGGTCAGAGGTTATTAGGTATTAGAATAAAGGCTGGCGTAATAGTTGAGTGGAGTTCAGAGACAGATAAAATCAAAAATGTGATTATTTTAGAGGTAGTTGAAAACAATTAGGGTGGGTTACGTAATAGTTGTATAAGATTTGGATAGTTCATATAATTAGGAGAGACAAATGAGCGGAAATGTGTGAGAGAAAGGGTGGTTTAAGAATTGGGTAAGGGGAGGGGAATATAAGAAAAACTGAATATTAACCAAAATTGAACTAATGACGACAAAACTGAAACCAAAATACAAAAACAAAAAAAACAAAAATAAAAAAATGGATTACCAGGGTAGTATTAAGTTTTTCACTGTCTCTTTTTGAATACGTAGATCCGGTTTTGAGTTTTTTTTATCGCGATCGCTTCCGCATACCGGAGAGCAGAGCACCGAGAGAAGAGTGCATGTCCGAATTTCTGATCATGTTCTCAAGAAACTGAGGCTGCCAGGCCCCAGGGCTCTCAACAGTGCGATATCTCGGTATTTACTCGACACCGGGCACAGCATTGACATTTCTCATGCCTTTAAAATCATTAGTAAACAAGGAACTACAACTGCTCTCCGGTTTGCTGAAGCGATCGCGATAAAAAAAACTCAAACCGGATTTATGTATTCAAAAAGAGACAGTGATAAACATATTACTACCCTGGTAATCCATTCTTTTTTTGTTTGTTTCAGTTCAATTTTGGTTAATATTCAGTTTTTCTTATATTCCCCTCCCCTTACCCAATTCTTAAACCACCCTTTCTCTCACACATTTCCGCTCATTTGTCTCTCCTAATTATATGAACTATCCAAATCTTATACAACTATTACGTAACCCACCCTAATTGTTTTCAACTACCTCTAAAAATTATTCAATTATTACGTAACCCACCCTAATTGTTTTCAACTACCTCTAAAATAATCACATTTTTGATTTTATCTGTCTCTGAACTCCACTCAACTATTACGCCAGCCTTTATTCTAATACCTAATAACCTCTGACCCTTCCTTGCCAATATATATATATATATAGTTATCATCGATGACTTTTGTTATTCCAATCCTTTACATTCACTTATGTCAGTCGTTCCATCCTATTTATTACCCCAATGCTAAAACTAATGCATATTTGGTTGTATGCAGCTGATGAGAAACCACGAAATATAATGAATTCATATTATTCTGCATCAATATTTGTTCTGTCTTTATTTAAACAAGATTCCAGATGAGAAAGAAATCAGAAAGAATTGCTGGAAGTGAATAGGACACCCATTGAGAAAATCACTCAACTGCATCACAAGACAAGCCCTCACATAGAATCCTGCAGGCCAAAGGAGAAGAGGAACACCAAAGAACACATTACGCCGAGAAATATAGACAGACATGAGAAGAATGAACAAAAATTGGATAGAACTAGAAAAGAAGGCAGAGAACAGAGTGCGTTTGAGTATGCTTGTCGGCGGCCTATGCTCCTTTGGGAGTAACAGGTGTAAGTAAGTAAGTAAGTATAGTCAGTTACACCCTCACCATCATCATCATCGTTTGAAACTGATCATAATAATCAATAAAGTAAATTTACAATATTAATTAAACGTAATTTAATCTACTTTATTAATTACATTACATTATCAATGATGTGTTGATCATGTACAATTTAACAGATAAGAAATCATACACACATCATAATTACGTGTTTTAATTTAATATTTACAGATTAAATATAATTATCAATTTTCATTTTATATATAAACTAATATAAGATTAAACTATTATGATACTATTCTATTCTATTTCAGTAGATAGTAAGTAGTATATCACTATTAGTTATAGATTGTTTGTTTGTTTGATTTAAATGATAACATTATACAAATGGTAAGTATCATCCAATATATACATACTTATCGGTTGTTTAATTAGGCATTCTTTTTATTTACTTATCCTTTTGATGATTAGCGTCGATTTAACAATTTAGTTTTAAACGAGATAAGGTAGCTAATCCCATGCTTAATCCTCTTTCCTTTATCTAAGCTTGGGACCGGAAGTAACTCTAAAAGAGTTAAAGGCGGAGTTAAGAAACACTTTCTATGTATTTGGGTTTTTTTTAATCTCTGTCTAAATGATTCATGAATAAGAAGGGATAATAGACAAGATAATTCAAGTTGATTGAGTTACATATGATGAAAATGTGTGCATTAGTTCAAATGCATCACACTGCATAGAAACACAAACGGTGTAAAAAAAAAATGAGACCTATATTAATGTCTTTAAGACAAATGTTATTTAAGTCAGAAGCGGATTTGTGGAGATTTCAGCTTATTTCAAAGTTGAAATCATAAGTCAATTGAAGCTAGACCACCATCGAAAACCTGTGAGATAACAATTCACTGAAGGCAATTGGTGAAGTGTCGTTCATAATTTATGGATCAGTTGAAGTTAGACATTAACACCTTTGAATGCCGGCTCAGTGGTCTATCGGTTAAGGACTCTGGCTCGTAACTGGTAGATCCTGGGTTCGAATCTCGTGTGGCGGGATCGTGGATGCGCACTGCTGAGGAGTCCCATAATAGGACGAAACGACCGTCCAGTGCTTCCAGGTTTTCGATAGTGGTCTAGCTTCAATTGACTCATGATTTCAACTTTGTTATTTAAGTATTTAAACCAAGTATTCAACGTTTAAAACTTGAATACATACAACAACAAATACATCGTTTTGCGCAACTCTAGTATACAGATTGTGACTTAAATACAAGTACATAAAGCTGGATGACATAATATTCAGTTTAAATACCCCAATACATATTCATCTCTTGTTATACACCTAATGTAGTGAACGACGACACATTACAGAATATCTTAGTAAAATTTGACAACCATAAAGTAAATACTGAATTCGCTAAACGTCAATCAATCAGCTTAGATTTCATTGTTTTGCTTTATTTCCATAACAATCATTCACTATTCTCTATCTATTTTCTTTGATCTTCTTAATCTTCTGTTGTCAAGTATTTCACTTTCCAATGATGATACATACTACTTATATCTATCGATATCAGTATATATGTATATAAACCTTAGATTTGGAGTAACTCCTACAAAAAAAACCAGATATTATGTACAAACATACATAGCAAACATGTATATACTAAGGAAAATCAAAGAGTTTCATTCTCTGGATAACTGTCAACATCAGTATTAATGTTATTATTTCATGAGCATAATAAACAATTAAGTGTTTATAAGCAAAGATCGATAGTGGCTAGCAGTAAAATGCAGGATGAGCGTTCTGTCCTATTTAAGACTAGTCAACTGGATATACCTTCATCTCATAGTTGATATTCACTCTGAGATTCGTATCCAGTACCATTCGTTTCAAACGCCATCACGTTATCCACTTAACTACTCAGTACTGATAGTCATTTGCTTGTGCAATGGGATGAAGTTTAAATTCACTTACTATTGTTCGTTTGAATCTTCCCATTGATGTTTACAACTGCAACTGGTCAGTCTCTAATTGGCATATGTGCATACTGTTCGTATTGTCTTAATATAGCCTAAATTCACAAGCATTGTAAGCAAAGATGGATAGTGGCTAGCATTGGAATCAAGGACGCGCGTTTCGTCCTATTTGGGACTCGTCAGCTGGATGTACCTGCTTGATGTTCACTCTTGGATTCGTATACAGTACCTTTCACTTCAAACGTCACCATGTTATCCACTTAACTACTGAATCCTGATAGCTACTTGCATGTGCAATGAACTATTTATCTTGATAAAATAAAGTGGATATTTAAATACCTTAACATCAAATAAACAATACTAAATGAATTCAAACTTCATCTCATCACACAAGCAAGTGGCTTACAATATTCAGTAGCTAAATGGATAACATGATGGCGTTTGAAGCGAAAGGTACTGGGTTCGAGTCCCATAATAAACATCAACTCTATGATATAGGTATATCCATCTGACGAGTTCGAAATAGGACGAAACGCGCATCCTGGATTCCACTGTTAGCCACAATTCATCTTTGCTAAAAAAAAATACCACAAGTTTCTATTCATTAATCACACTTTATTTTACTGTTGTTCACATTGTTTTTTTCATTCTATCCTGTACTAGTTACATTCTTATATTAGTAAGATAGTTTACATTTACTTTATTCTTTTTTTATTTATTATATATTGTCTATTAACAAATACATGATTCGTTTGTATACATAAATTGTGTAAGTAAGAGTTGTTGGTCTCATTCTTTCTCTTCTTTTGTTGTTGTTGTTGTTGTTTTTTCTCCTTAACAATAAGTTAATATGACATATACATATATATGTAATGATTGGTTACACCCTATATTGTATATTGCTATTGCACAATTATAAATGAGTAAATCAAAAGAAAAAAAGGGTTTGTGTTTTTTTTTGTTGTTGAGGGGGGGGGATACAATCATAAGTCAGATAAGACATTAAGTATATAATTATACATTTAAAGATTGAGCACATTTATAAATCCCCTTTGATCATATTTGATTATTAGTAATTATCCTATTTATAATTGATCTCATAAATCATCGTATATTTAATTGACAGTATTATGAAAGAAATTATAGCAATGATTAAAGATGCTGATATGAATCGTTCTATGCAAGAAGATGCTGTATATATAGCTGCAAATGCAATGGATGAACATAATACTGAACAAGAAATTGCAAGATATATTAAAATACAATTTGATCATAAATATAAACCATATTGGCATTGTATAGTTGGTGGAACATTTTCTAGGTAAGTTTAATTTTATATGCTTTACTTATGTTATGTCACTTCCAACATATATCACTTTCAAATTCATTTAATATTGTTTATTTGAATTTAAACTTCATCTTATTGTATAAGCAAGTGGTTATCATGATTAAAAAGCTGAATGAATAACGTGATGGCATTTGTAGCGAAAAGGTACTGGGTTCGAGTCTCAGAATGAACATTAACTCTGAGATGTAGGTACAACTAGTTGACGAGTCTCAAATTGGACGAAACGCGAGTCCAACTGGATTCCACTGCTATCCACTATCCATCTTTGCTTATATATCATCTTGGTTAGAACTGTAATGATAACCGTGAGTTCAAAGCCAAGTAGATATTTGGTTAGATTGCTGGTACAGTGTTTTGTCATGATTATTATTGTTGTTACTATGGTTGCTTTAATTAAATGTATCATGCCTATCATAACTGACGATTTTAACTACGGAGTATAAGGGAATTTACATATAGAGTACTATATTAGATGAAATATCCTTCATTTAATAAACTTCTAATCACTATTTAAACATATATCACCTTCAAATTCACTTAGTATTTCTTGTTTGAACTTAAACTTCACCCTATTGCATAAGCAAGTGCCTATCAGAACTCAGTAGCTAACTGGATAACGTGATGGCATTTGTAGCGAAAAGGTACTGGGTTCGAGTCCCAGAATGAATATCAACTCTTAGATGCAGGTACATCTAGCTGATAAGTCTCAAATATGATGAAACACGCGTCCAACTGGATTTCACTGCTATCCACTGTCCATCTTTTCTTATATATCATCTTGGTTAGAACTGTAATGATAACCGTGAGTTGGAAGCCAAGTAGATGTTGAGTTAGGTTGTTGGTAAATTTACTTAGGTATAATGAAGCGTTCATTCTTAATCGAACCGACAGATACTTTCAAGACCGGAATATAACTTTTGACATAATTTAATATTGTTGAAGCTACTTTATACAGTAATTTGTCGCTAATTGATGTGAATCTATTTAATTTACATGAAACTATGGAATTTCGAACTTACGAAATACGAAAAGTCAAGTGACAGTGGTTTAGGAAACTTGTAATCGAGCATATATATATATAGTCATCCATATGCGGAGAATACTTAGATTAGTTGTTGGCAGGTTATTTTACTATCTTGATTGACCATCTTTCCTTCCAATTTTTTTCAGTGTAAATTAAACGTTACTTATTTTTAGTGCATTTAACAATGTTTTGTTACAATAATATGAGATGTCATTGATACCATGGTTACAGTATTATAAGGTGGTAACAAAGATTTGTAGTTCATATAGAGATTTCATTAGGTGATTTAATTATGAAGCTCTTATTCTCTTTCTATATAACATAATGAACATGAACTGTGAATAAATGTATGTTCTGAGATATGAAGTTGTTCAATATACTAATTATCAGAAGGGGTTTTGTGGAGATTTAGTATTTTTTCATAGTTGAAAGCGGGAGTCAATTGAATCTAGACCACCATGGAAAACATGAAAAAACTGGACGGCCGTTTCATCCTATTATGGGACATTAACACCGTTGGATGCCAGCTCATTAGTCTATCGTTTAAGGGTTTCGGCTCGAGACTGGTAGGTCCTGGGTTCAAATCTTGCGGGAGCGGGTTCGTGGGTGCGCACTGCTGAGGAGTCCCATAATAGGACGAAACGGCCGTTCAGTGTTTCCAGGTTTTCGATGGTGGTCTAGCTTCAGTTGAATCACGCTTTCAACTATGTTCAATGTACGTTTATCCTTTTTCATTTAATAATATAATGCTTGGTTTTAAGTACTTAAAAGTAGGTTCCTTTTCTCTTCTAGTTTCACTAAACATGATATGATATAAAATAGTTAATATACAAGGGTAAAATGAAAGCAGTTAGGAGTTCTTTAATTGAACACCCAAACGACCGTAATCATTCTACGGATCCACATTTTGGTTTTAAGATTGTTTATATGATTCCTTCAAATCTACCTAGATTTCTTCGTATCCAACTCTTAAAAAAAGATCACAAGAGGTTTTTTTGTGGAGAATTTACTATTTTCATAGTTGAAATCATGAGTCAATTGAAGTTAACTAAATTCTCCACAAAACCCTCTTCTGATCTATAATCATATGCTCACTAGTAACTGACTTCAAGAGATATTTCCTTGAGTTCTATTGGGAAGCAGTGACCAATGGACGTCTACCAAGTCTGTTGTAGAGATATCAACTCACTGAAGACAATTGATGAACGGTTGCTCAAAATTGTGAATTGGTTGGAGTTAGACATTAACACCGTTATATGCCGACCGGCTCAGTGGTCTAGAGTTTAAGTGCTCTGGCGCGAGACTGGTAGGTCCTGGGTTCCAATCTCGAGAGTGCAGGATCGCGAATGCTCACTGCTGAGGAGTCTCACAACAGAGCGAAACAGCCGTCTAGTGCTTCCAGGTTTTCAATGATGGTCTAGCTTCAATTGACTGATGATATCAACAGTATAGAATTCTTAGCACAAAGTATTTCAACAAGTTTCCTTTTCCATCCTGATGATAAATAATGAGTGAACGCCATTTATATGTTAGCAGTCTAATAAATCGATATCGACGTAATGTACATTCTTCTCACTGTATATTGCTAGCAATTACAATATCTCTGATTGGCTCTTTTGTAACTTGTACAACGAAAGATTGAATAGTTTTCAGAAATCCACCAAGTAATAGATATAATGATGTATTAAAACAAACAAAGGCAAATAATGTAATATAGATGACGAAGATGATCAGAACTATGTGATCAGATATTAGCACAATACATATAGAACAATCTGATCACACGTAAACTTGTTAAGAACTTATATATACAAAAGGTCGACTAGACTGGAAATGGGGGATGTAAGAGGAGACAAGGATAATACTAATAGAAAATAATGTGAAAACAATTTGAAACTTAATTACTCTGGATAATAAGCTTATATTACCAAGGTAGGTTTAAGGCGAGAACAAACTGTTTTTCATATTATTATTATTATTATTATCCTTGTCTACTCTTACCCCCCCCCTAATTCTATTCTAGTTGACCTCTTATATTTTTATATAAATGTTCTTAACAAGTATATTATGTGTCATTATATTGATTCGAAATGTATTGCTCCAGTTCTGATAATCTTCGTCTTCACAATTGATTGATCACTAGGTGGTGATCAATATCATGTGTGTCAAGTCCTTCTTAGTGCTGATCGAATGCTATCGATCAAGTTGCAATGTGGCCATCAGTCTAGGTGGCTCAACACTGCGTGCACTATGTTGAGATGAGATGTTAGTTGAAGGTGGTCAACAGGAAACCCTGGACGAAACCCGGATCCAGAGTTTTCTTTTGACCACCTCCAACCACCATCTAATCTTCGTCTTCTTATGACATTATCAAAATTTATCAAAGGGATTAATTGCTTTAAAAGTCAAATAACTAGTTAAACTATTTAAATAACATGTAATAGGTAGGTCAGATATCTCAAGTAAGTTACCAAGTTGTTTTTTTCTTTCATTTGATAATTGAATATTAATTAGATCCCCCCTCCTTTTTTTGATGATATCGATTTAATTATTCTATTCTTTCTTTTTTTCTTCCCCCCTCCCATTTTTTTAAATATATCATCATTTCTTATAGTTTTGTATCCCATGAAGCAAATAAATTCATCTATTTCTTCCTTGGAAATCATTCCATACTTTTATATAAATCATTATAATTATATTTACTGTATTATAGTTTCTATGAGTAACACAAAAAAAAATTTCAGATTTCAAGTGTTACGTAATCATAAACAATGTAAACAACTTGTATATTGTTAACAATGATGATGATGTCAAGGTAACCCTATTTTTCTTACAAAAAATTTCCAATGTGATCAAGAAAAAACAAAACAAAAAAAACGTGATAAATATGCATTTCCTTGTTTTTTATCATTAATTCTGTAAATTATTGATTATTTTTTTGTTTTGTTTTATTTTCAATATGATTCCTGTGATAATCGGCTTATTTATTTTGATTTCTTTAAAATTTTCATAGTTGAAATCATGGGTCAATTGAAGCTAGACCACCATGGAAAACCTGGAAACACTGGATGGCCGTTTCGTCCTATTATGGGACTCGTCAGCAGTACGCATCCCGCACTCACAACATTTGAACTTAGGATCTCTCTGTCTCAAACCAGAGCCCTTAATAAAACCTTAACAAATACACAAAACCCCCTCTGATTCTTTATAATTGTTGATAAGTTGAAGATATATCTACAACAGACTTTGTAGAACTCCACTGGTTACTGCTTCCCAATAGAGCTAAAGGAAATATCTCTTGAAGTCAGTCACTAGTGAGCATATGATTATAGATCAGAAGAGGGTTTTGTGGAGAATTTAGTATTTTCATAGTTGAAATCATGAGTGGATGCGCACTGTTGAGGACGAAACGGCTGTCCAAATGCTTCCAGGTTTTTCATGGTGGCCTAGCTTCAATGGACTCATGATCTCAACTATGAAAATACTGAATTCTCCACAAAAGTTAAAGATAACTAAGAATGTTTTATTAGAAAACTAAAATGTTGTACTATATTCGAATTGAGTTGAAATAAGTTTGAATTACATATGGTTCAGAAAGTCAATGAAACTTCCAAATGTTCAATTACTTACTTACTAACGCTTGTTATTCCTCATGGAGGAGTATACGCCATACACCAGCATTCTCTATCCACCCCTGTACTGGACAATCGTTTCTAGTAATTTTCAGTTACCATTCATCCTTTTCATGTCTACTTTCATTTCCTGGCGTAATGTGTTCTTCGGCCTTCCTCTTTTCCGCTTCCCTTCGAAATTCGAACTTGGGGTTTGCCTCGTGATGCAGTTTGATGATTTCCTCAATATATATCCGATCCACTTCCAACATCTTTTCTTAATTTCTTCTTCATCTGGAAACTGGTTTGTACTCTTCCACATTAGGCTGTTGCTGATGGTATCCCATCAATAATTGTTAATTATTTTGCATAGACAACTGTTTAGAAATAATTGTACCTTCTTGACAATGGATGTAGTAATTCTCCATATTTCAGCTCCGTACAGTAAAACTGATGGTCTTGACGTTCGTATTGAAAATTCTCACTTTGATATCGGTTGAAAGTTGTTTTGAGTTCCATATGTTCTTCAATTGTAGAAATGTTGTCCCTGATTTGCTAATCCTCGTCTTTACATCTGCATCAAATCCTCCAGTAGTATCTTAATGGTATCTAAATTACTATGGTTTTTTTCTTTGAAATAATTTAATCTTCATTAACTCTTTTATCACTAGTTCATTGAAAGTATCGTTCAAAAATGATTTACGAGTTTGAACGGATAGGCTCAAAAAATGTTTGTCCGATCCAACCAAAGCAACAATTATAAGATATTAAACATTTCTCTTTAATTAATCGTTAGATTGCAGATTGTTGATCAGAGACTTAAGATTTCGATTTTCTGCTATTTGACACTTGACAATCCATCAAGTAAGTATACTTAGAGAAATTGTTGTTTCCACTGTGGAATTAGAACCTGAATCACCCTACCACATAATAAATGACGTTGACAGTGAGTTATTCAAGCCATGATTGACCACATCTGTATGTAAGAACAGAGAATAGATTGTTTGATCTTAGATATGCAATCAGTTGTTTGAAATTATATCATGATTACTTAAGAAAGCACGATTATTAACACAATAACCCAGTGAAATGTCAGGAAAAAAAGAACGGTCAGTCGGCATAATGATTCGTTCGCAAATAGGACGAAACATGCGTCCTGGATTCCACTGCTAGCCACTATCCGTCATTACTTATAATGTTTTACTCTTGGTATTTACTTTACAGTTGAACTGTTTCTTTGACATTCATTGTTTTAACTAATACATGTTAGGTCGCATTATATATATTTAGTGCGAAAAAAGTAAATTATGGATCTCATTTTATCGAATTAAGATAGTTGTTAATTAATCTTAAAAGTAGCCTACATAAAGGAATTTCTGAGTACGATCCCGCCTCGCGAGATTCGAACCTAGGATATATCAGTCTCGCGCGGATAGTGGATGTGTACTACTGAGGAGTCCCATATTAGGACGAAACGGCTGTCGAGTGCTTCCAAGTTTTCCCTGGTGGTCTAGCTTCAATTAACTCACTCTTTCAATTATGAAAATACTAAATCTCCACAAAAATCCCCTCCTGATAAAAACATTAAGGTCTTAAACATGCGTTGATGAGACATCCTAAACAATAACGAAACATTTGTCTATTGTTTCTTTCGATAATACAATGAGAAGATGAAGTTTATCAGAATTATGTGACGCGATATTTGCGTAATACATTTCGAACAATCTGATCATACTTATGCTTGTTAAGACATTTTTATTAAGGTCAACTGGACTGGTTAAGGAAAGCCGTAACAAAGAAAGAAAATAAATAAAGTACACAAAAACAATGCGATGACCACTCTAGATAATAAATCAGTATTACCAGGGTAGGTTAAGGGTAAGAACAAATTGTTTTTGAACACATAAAGGGGGTTTCAATTTCCATATAGCTAGGGCTTCAATAAACCTTAGTATACATCCTTGAAGGCTTTTGTACTACACTGCAAACGCTGACTTGATGTTGACCAGTTTTAACCAAATGTTTCGCAATGGAGGAAGATGTTCGTCAATCCTGTGATCTTATTTGACCATTCGAATTCATTTGGTTCTGCAGCCATTTAGGTATATGTTCCGCCACCCTTAATTGCAGATCACGATTGCTCCTCCCTATGTACGTGTTTCTGTAGATACATGTTTCTTTGTTTTCAATAGTCCTACTGTCGACATTATTTTTTTTGACAAAAGATGTACATTGGAAATAATATTGGGGACTTAATAAATCGTAGACTAAAAGGGGTTTTGTGGAGATTTCAGTATTTCCATAGTTGAAATCATGAGTCAATTGAAGCTAGACCTACATGGAAAACCTGGAAGCACTGGACGGTCGTTTCGTCCTATTATGGGACTCCTAGGCAGTTCGCATTCACGACCCCGCCTCGCGAGATTCGAACTCAGGACCTACCAGTCTCGCGCCAGAGCACTTTACCGATAGATCACTGAGCTGGCCGGCATTCAATGGTGTTAATGTCTAACTTCAACCAATCCATGATGTTTTTGAGCAACCGTTCAATAATTGTCGCAGACTGTTTAAATGAAACGTTAATTCAGCCTTAATTACTTATTGTGTTCAGTAAAATGTTCATTAAAGTAGCTTGAAATAAAGTAAATTACACAACTTAAATTCAGAAATTTTATTAATAATTATAACCGATTAAAGAATGGAGCCTTAATCATCTTTCTTTCCCACGAAGGCAAGCCAGAAAATTAGTCTAGGGTCTTCAGGTTTTCAGTTGAGCATAGAAACTTTAAACCTACGAGTTTGGATCCACTCGTTCATATTTCTTATGTCAATCAGACATTGACAACAATTATGTACATATTCAATTATCATAGACAAAACTCAACCAAAATATAATTATATGCTGACTACTGACTTTCTTGGAGTAAACTCTCTTGAAATTCTCGTGAGACTTGGTCGTAGGTCTGGTGAAGACATGTCAGAAGTAAAACAGTCGTCAAAGATGATATCATCGTATCAAGAACTAATCGAACTTGAAAATGATTTGAAAATCATTTGTCCGAACCCCTATTACGGTGATGGTAAATATCCCTGAAAAGCCCTAGATTGGGATTGTAGCTGTAAATAATTCCCCAAAATCAATTGCTTTGTAAGTGATCGACATTGGATGCTGACCACATTAGTTTTAGTGGACTTATTTAGCTGAAGACGTTCGGTCATGTATCCGCACCAGATCATGTTACAACACAGCGTGGGAAACAACCCCTACGTTCGTTAGCCAGATTAGAACAGTCGCTTCTCGATATATTGATAACGCATCAAATATATCTTTCCAACCTTTTCGCTTCCGACTTTTGATTTTAACTGAGTGGGGCACGATTCGATTATAGAAGGTGTTACTGGTTAATAGTTGTCAAACTACAATACTGGTGGTATATTCAGGATGAAACACTTGTTTGGTAATCTATATACTGGACTAGATATTCTTTAACTAGCCCTTGTCTAATATTCAGAATGTCACAAAATCACAAGATTTTACCATAAAGTTGTAATTTGGCATTTTCTAATCTGACACTCATTATCTATTGACAATATCGAAATCACAATTTGACTGATGTTGTGAAATGTAAATCCCTGGATTTCAGCTCAGTTTATGGGTGATGATGATGAATTAGATACCAGAAGATGGAACGTCAGTCAATCATCAATATCATAGTGTTGAGGCTAATTTCCTCTACATCTGACTCCAATATATAATATCTCGTTAACTGAGTATTTAAGCAGGTAAAATATCCTAGTAGTATTATAAATATGCTCGAAATTATCCAACAGACCAAATACCAGTTTTACGAATGGTGTATTGTTAATAATTGGTAAAATCCCCAAGCAACGCCGAAAGCACAGAGGGAAGTGAGTGAGAGAGAGCGTAAAAAACAAATCGAAACGAATTGGAAAAGGTTTTGTGAGCTTACTCAATTTAATTAAGCGTTACTCAATACCTATTGTAAGAACAACAATTAGCTACATACATGTGATGAATAGGATAATAAATGCACACACATACACTCACATGAAAATACTCAAGGTTGAGAAGCGAATAATTAACTAGGTCAAAGTGTGATTCGATAGCTTAGCTTAGCTTACGCCTGTTACTCCCAATGGAGCATAGGCCGCCGACCAGCATTCTCCAACCCACTCTGTCCTTGGCCTTCTTTTCTAGTTCTATCCAGTTCTTGTTCATTCTTCTCATGTCTGTCTCCATTTCTCGGCGTAATGTGTTCTTTGATCTTCCTCTTCTCCGTTGACCTTCAGGATTCCATGTGAGGGCTTGTTTTGTGACGCAGTTAGCTGATTTCCTCAAGGTGTGAC